GCGGTCAAGGAAAGCTGAACGATGGGTGAAGAAGGTGTTATTATAGAGGACATTGTTCGGTTATTATCCTCTATGGGGAGGTGGGAGTGCTCTCATATAAATAGGAGTGGTAATGATGTTGCTCATGTTTTAGCTTCCTTTGGTTTTAATTGTTCACATGATTTTGTTGGGGTTTATATGATCCCTTACTTTGTATCTTCGGTTGTACTTGCCGATTTGGCTGTTTAATTCTAAAGTGGTTTTCGTGTTCAAAAAAAATATGTCCTGGCTCCTTTTTTGTATTGTCTTTAAAATATGCACATTATTTGTTCAATCCAAAACTTTTTACTACATTTCAAATTGGTTAGTAAGATTATGCCATATTAAAGAGAGTAAAACTGACAGTAAAATTAACAAATCAACATAAACCTCATGGTCATGTAAGTCAACAACATTCTGATCAAATTACTTAGACTTTTAGGAGAGTCGATAAACTAACGGTGCAATATAAAATGATCTGAAAGTGAACAAAAATTTAAATCAATTGATCTAACATGCTCATATACATACCTGGTGATCTGGCGACCTAAAATTCGGCACCAATCTAATTTCTAAACCTCCTCATCCGGAACTAATTTGGTATTGAGTCTTGTGATGTAGTCAAATTTTTTTTTTTTTTTTTTTGAAAATGATGTAGTCAATTAACATTAGCTAGAGATTTTAATTAGTAATAAAATTGACAAAGTCAACGGATGAACCCCACGTGTGGTTAAGATCTTTCTTCGCTGCCACCACTGAGGTGTACATATATATAGGTAGGAATTGCCGAATTGGTGGCCAAATTTTATAAAATTCTGAAAAAGGCCCGTACAATTTCGCCATTCATGCACAGTCTGCCTAACACACACAGCTAAGCACCTTAGTACATTTGTCAATTTTGAAGGGGACCCTTCCAATAACAGCAACTATAGGTACAAATGTATATAATTTGTATATATAAATAGGTGTATATATATATTATATACACCCACACACGATGGCTATGTTTGAAATTGATCCCGTTTTTATTTTTCACTTTTTTTGAAAAAGAAAAAATAGAAACGTTCTCAAAACGGCGTTTAACCCAATAAAAATAAAAAAATGAAAATGAAAACGATTTTTTAACTTAGTGTAAAATGAGAAAGAAATTAAAAATGATTTTTAATCGTTTTTCATTTTTTATTTTTATTTTTTCCTCTCTGGAGCAGAGAGAAAAAAAGAGAAACATTAATAGATTTTTTTTACACTAAAAATAATTTGTTGATAAAACTATCAAATGTATTTTTAAAAATTATTTCTGTCAACAATTAAAAACATTATTATTATTTTTTTTATACAAAAATAAAATAAAATTATTTTAAAACGAATTTCAAACGATATTTCTACTTCCATACTGGCATTATATTTTATGCTTGTTGTACGTACGAAAATCCGATGGGATTTGCTCATTTATTGTCACATTTGGTTCTGGGGATTTGCTGAACTGTCCCAGCAGGACTAGCCGAATGTACGATCCATTTGAACTACAACCGCAGGCAAAAATAAAAATGCTGAAACTATATAGTGATATATATGGAGAAGATATTTGGCATTGTAGTAAAAAGAAAAGATATTTAATGATAAAGGATGTTGCTACAAACGTGGTTGTATTTTTTTTTTAAATAATTTTTGTAATGAAAAAACGCAGTTGTAGTTGTAGTACTTGTATGTACAAGTCTTGATATAATTAAGTTAGAAATACCATAGAATAATATACAAATAGCCAAGCAATTAATGTAAGTTATGTCCCTTTTATTGTAATGACTATATTAGTTCAACGGTTCTAAATGATAAAAGTGTTTCACTTTCTTTCTTTTGTTTTCCTTCAATTTTAATTTATACATGATGTTTTAGATTATTGATTAATAATAATGGCTTGTATTTTGAGGTATTATATATTTATATCTTCATATTTATACGTAAAACTTGTCTTCTCTCGATCAACGATAAATTTTGGGTTGAAAAAGACCTAGACGCACTTAAAATAAAATAAAAATAAAGAAAAATAAAATTACTAAAATTTTTAAAAAGGACCTGGAATTGAAAAGAAAAAGAAATTAAAACAAACTGGATTATTTGGCATTGTTTGGCCGGTAAGAATGTACAAAAAATTAAACCATATATGTCTCACGTATGTGGACTTTTTTTTTTGTTGTTTTAGTTTTTTTTTCTTTTTTTTTTTTTTTTTGCTTTGCTACTATGAAAAGAACTAAAGCTGTGCATATTCATTATAAAATGTGGGTATGTTTGTTTCACAATTCAAGTTCTTAATTTAAATTGTGTACGTAAGAGAAAAATATTGTAATAAAAAAGTTAAATTTAAATTTTTATGAAAAAAAACATAGTAGCAATAGAACTTGAGTTGTGAAAAAAACAAGGCTGAGTTTTGAACTCAAGAACAATCAGTTGAAAAAGATTTGAATGAAACATTTGGCATTTTTTTTCGCAAAAGGAAAAGGAGGAAGGAAAAAGAGAAATAAAAGCCATTTTACACAGGACGCAGCCAATATCTTTGAAGGGCCTACAAAGGATTTCTTGTATCCACCGTCGGAACCAGAGATTTGAAACCATACATTGTACCTAGGAAAACAAATATTTTATTGTACCTATGTCGCAGCTTATAACAAAATATCTTTCATTAAAGATATCAGCATTAAACCACCGGACATGAAAAAGGTATATATATAAATACTGTTATTTATTGAGTATGACGTGTATCTCACGATCGTCGATGAGGATCCTCCAACTAGTTTTAACCAGTCTTATGAGACGCTTTCATTTTGAGATTTGTAAACTTTGGACAAAATATGTGTCTTTATCTACTCTCTACATGTCCGGTTATGCTTCTCTTGCAACCACTTCTCACTTTTTCCTCTTTTTGGGTTTGTAGTTTTTATTTCCTTTATATGGACCTCGATTTATGGTTTCACCTCATAAGCATTGTGTAGAATGTAGAGACAAGCTTATTTTCATGCTTTACAAGAAATCAAGAAAGGATTAGCTGAGCTCAATATTTACATCTTTAGGTAAATCTATTGCTTCCACATTAGACAAGTATTCCGAGTAAAATAGTAATTTGCCTTTTAAACTAATTTTGATAATTTTCATTTTAAATTTACAAACTGTATAAATTATCCATAGTTGTCTTTAGAGCCGGCAATATGGGTCACGACACGATAAAATGACTTGAAAATGACATGAATTTCGCGGGTTAGGGTTGAGAAAAAAGAGGTTCGGGTCAGAATTGAGTTGACCTGAAATTGACACGAAAAACACGGGTTAATTTCGGGTTGGACCCGCCTAATCCGAACACGACACGAAACTCGTAAAAATCTAAAACATACATATATTTTGCATTACATATTTTTGATTTTATTATGAATTTGTAATATCATGATAGTTATACTCAAAATCTTATACTATTATTTGCTTAATTTTAATGGATGTTATTATATTTTAGTGTGTTATAAATTTTAAGTTATTTCTAATATGTAAAAAACTAAATAAACATATACAATTTTCGTGTCAATTTTGGGTTCACGGGTCAATTTTGTGTCACGGGTCATTCTCGTGTCGTGTCGTGTTCGTGTTGCGGTTTGTAAAAAATTTCATGTTCGGGTTAAGTGCAAATTTAGAAAGAAACGTTCAAAACACGATATGTAACACGAATTGTCACCTCTAGTTGTCTTAGAAAGCGTTAACCTAATAATATTCATGATATCTTGTGATAGAGTCAAATTCGGTATAAATGTTATGCTATGCCTACAACCACAATGTTAAATGTATTTTTTTCATAATTATCAAGTTTTTAAATTTATAAGTGTTGGACTGTAAAGTGCGCATGATGCTACATGACCTAAACTTTAACGCTGGGATTTATTTGGAATAAAAATCCATATAAGGGGAAAGTATCATTTTGAAATTTTTATGTAATATTTGAAGTGCAATGTTGACGGACTGAATGAAATGGGTAATTTGAAGATCATGTTCTTGATTATAGAGTGCCATGAGGCCTCCCCGTGGCTATTCCTATACAGGTGTCAAATTACAGACTTAACCTAACACTATCCTAGAGACTCCCGCATACGTACCTGGTGGCTTTTTTCTTAACTAAAAATAATCTTTTAATTTTAAAATGACATTAAATTTGAGAGTAATTTTTTTAATTAAATATCAAAAATTGACATTAGCACTAATTTAATATTACACAAGAGATGCTCTGACTAACTCGTAAAAATATATAGCCGGGGTACTCTAGATGCTCTTCTACTTGTTTTTCAATATCAACTCGCTGGAAAAACTACTTGTTATTTTTTACTTGAAGAATGTCGTTTAATATTTGTGGAAACCATGCACACAAATTCAAAACAATAATTTATCTGTTAAGTCGGCATTAAAAATGGAGTATTCCTACCAAACCATTACCAAAGGAGATGATCGTCTTTTCCTGCACATTAACCAGTTTTGGTCGTATGATCATAAGTTTCACTCTAACTAAGCATGGGTATATATGGACCACTGTTTTAGAATGTCAATAATTTCTTAACTTTTTTGTTACAGTAAAAAGTTTTTAGAAACAATCACATGTAACTTTTTTATTACAGTAAAAAATTTTCACATAACATCACATTTCAACTCGAATTAAAAATTTAAATTAACAAACTGAATGGAAATTCACGATGAAAATAAAACCGCGTACTCTTAAAAAATGTCGAGTCTTACTAAGTTGGATTTTATCTATCCACTTAACGAAGCCCGCCTTATGTGAGCGTCGGACTTAACTCTATCGAGATGAGTAGAGAGCTCGAATGAGAGTAGCCAGCCACCCGTGGGAGGAATAGGGAATGTTCCAAGATGGTGTAGTAGTCACAACTCACAAAAATGAGATCACTGATAAAATATTAAACGCGCACACAAAACTCAGTCCACACATGCTTCTTCATATTCACACCTATTAAAAGCCCCCATATCCCCTTCAATCCATACTAATTTCATCAGCGGCAGCAGCAGCAACGACAACAACACCATTACATACTTTTCTCTCTCTCCTCAAAATTTTTTTTTTTTTTAAACTCTCTTACTTCCATTTTAGGGCAAAAATGGCGGCAATATCCACACTTCCCATGCTCAACATCGACTCAAACTACGAAGCCGACAAGCTCACCCACGAAATCTTCTCAATTCTGGAGAACAAATTCCTCTTCGGTTACGATGATCATCGCAAAGCTAACCATGATCGTAACACTAAGCTTCCCACTCCGGCGCAGAACGGAAAGGTCAGAATTCTCAGCATCGACGGAGGCGGCGCCACCGGGGGAATTCTCGCCGCCGCCTCACTCCAACGTCTCGAGTCCTCCCTCCGGCATAAGTCAGGAAACCCAAATGCTGCCATCGCCGATTACTTCGACGTCGTCGCCGGCTCCGGTGCCGGCGGTGTCCTCGCTGCCCTTCTCTTCACCCGGAGTAGGGAGGGCGGGCCGCTGTTCACCGCCCAAGAGGCCCTCAATTTCATGGTCAAGAATCGCCGGAAGATATCCTGCCCCTCGCCGGCAGGAATTTTACGGCGAGTTTTCGGATCCGAGAAGAAGGTCGAGAAAATGTTCGGAAAGGTGTTTGGGGAATGTACTCTTAAGGACACGTTGAAGGCGGTGCTGATCCCCTGCTACGACCTTTCTTCTCGCACGCCGTTTTTGTTTTCCCGCGCCGATGCGGTCGAGATGGACGGCTACGATTTCAAGATGAGGGACGTCTGCGCCGCCACGTCGGCCGATCCTACGGCTACGGGCGGGGCGTTGGATGTGAGGTCGGTGGACCGGAGGACGAGGATCCTAGCCGTCGATGGTGGGATCGCGATGCACAATCCGACGGCTGCGGCGATCACGCACGTTTTGAACAACAAGCAAGAGTTCCCGCTCTGTAATGGCGTGGAGGATCTTATTGTAATTTCACTTGGGAATGGAGAGTCGGAATTTGGTGTGGGCGGTGTCACTTCTTCTCCTGCGACCGCGGGGCGGCTAATCAAGTTTGCCGGCGAAGGAACTTCTGACTTGGTAAGAATATACTATTTGAATTTGTATTGTTCTTTTGTCTTTTAAGCACATTTTTAATTGTAGTTTAATAAAGGAAATAGTAAATTATGGTAATTTCAATAATTGCTAAGTGTTAAATTAAAACACAGTAGTGGTTGGGGGGCACCATGATAAAAGAACCAACAAATTTTGGCCCCGTTCATTTCGCCGATTCGAGTTTAGAATTTGAGTTTTGCTACAGTAAAAAGTTCTCAGAAACAGTCACATTTAACTTTTTTACTTTAGTAAAAAGCTCTCACACAAAATCACATTTCAACTTGAATTACAAACTCAAATCAGCGAAGTGAACGGACCCAAATATAATCGAATTTTTTTTTTATATTTTTCTGTAAAAGGATTTGTCGGTTGGAGTTGGAGATTATTGTTACGATTTTTTTTTTTTTTTTTGAGAATGATAACCTCATTGTCCTTTTTGCAGCCAGAAAAATTCCTTTGATATTTTATTTTAGTAATGAATGCAATGATTTCTGATTTAACTATAATATAAACCTAATTATTTGTAATTCTTTTGACTTAATATTATAGGTGGATCAGGCAGTTTCGATGGCATTTGGAGAGTGTCGTACGAATAATTATGTTCGCATTCAGGTATATCTCTCACGCTCTACTTTAAATATAATAATTATGACTTTTTTTTTTTAATGGAGCCATATTTACATTATTTTTCCAATTCATAGAGTGCACTTTTTTTTTTTTAATAAATATCCAAAATTTTAATTCCAATTTAAAAATATTTCAGGGGAACGGCATTATAGCTAAAAACCAAGGTGGCTGGGAAAATGCAAAAGTGCCCAAGAAGAAAATAGACATATTGTCACAAACAGAGAATATGTTGGCCCAAAAAAACGTCGAGTCCGTACTATTCCAAGGGAAGAAGATAGTTGGGAACTCAAACTTGGAGAAAATAGAACATTTTGCCGGAGAACTCGTTAAGGAACAAGAAAGAAGAAAAACCAGCATTTTGCCAATAGTGGCTTTGAAGCAGATGTCACAGTCCCCGAGAACATCCTCTGCCACAACTCTTTCCACACTATCCTCCAATTAGTTTAATTGGGAGGAAAGGAAAGGAAAAATATTTTTTTATTTTATTTTTTTAGTTGTTAAAAATTACATAAAATTTAGTTATTAACGTTTAGTTCATGTATTATAATTATGAGATTAAAATTATTTTCGATTTACGTGTATTTTTTATGAAAAAAAATACTGTAACGAATTATGAATCATGATTCGAATTAAGGTACGAATCCTCCTACCAAACGTCACAAATAACTCTATAGGGTAAGTTTGGTTGAGGTTAATATGTTGCCGTTCGGATGAATGACAAAAAGGCATCCGAGTCTGAGATGCAGAGTTCACATCTTTCTTTTTTTTTTTTTTTTTTTTAATTTTTGCAATACAGTTGAGTGTATTATATTTATAATGTAATGTTGTGCATATGGAAGAGTTGTAAAAAGGGCATTTGGTGCCAAGTTTAAATTAAAGCTTCAATTACAATGTTGTGTATCTCATTATACTCGCATTTCGCTTCAGTTTGATTGGCTTTACTGCACTTCCCTTTCCCTCTCATACTCAGTCGCAAAAGGAGTCTCTATTGGTTTCCATCGTGCTATGCCTTACTGATTTTGAAAAATCATCCCAATCTTTCAGTCTTAGAGCCTGTTTAGGAGAGCTTTTTGAAAGCTGTTTTTAGTTTTTTAAGTCTAAAAGTTATTTTTAGAAGTGTTTGAAAGATTTGTTAGAAATATTTTGACTTTTCAGAAGAGCTTATAATCAAAATCAGAAAATTGTGACTTTTAAATAAAATACTTCTGAATAGACTTTAAAACTTATATAAGAGTTTAATTAATGCATTATAAACTTAATTTTAACACTTTTATTGCTTATTTGAAAATTAAAAATCATTTTAACCCATTAAATTCTTTGTTCCAAACACTTACAGAAAAATCATAACTTTTACTTCTCTTCTTTTATTGGTTAAAAATAAAAACAAAACTCTGTCAAACGGCCCTTAACTATTAACAATGTTAAATTGCAAATTGTTTTGACTAGACAAAAATTTGGATGCGTAGAAAAGACTTTACACTTAAAATTCTCAATTTCTTTACCTTTTTTAAAAAAAAAAAAAAAAAAAAAAAAAAAAACTTTTGAAAAAAAAGGGGTTTCAATCTTTGAAAAATAAGGAGTTTCAATCTAAGACTTAAAATCTACCATTGAGTGTGCATAATTATCGTTGGGTTACGCTGTAATGTAACTATATTTTTCCCAACTTCTTTTAGAGAAAACCAAATAAACACCTCTTTAAATAGGCACTCTTATATATTTGACCCACAAATATTAGTCCATTGATTTCTATCTACCGTATGGATTATTAAAATTATACCCCAATGGCCAAAAAAGTAATCTATAAGATACCACCAATAAACTACCAGATACCATCAAAATTAGAAAATCTCTAGTCACCGTGTCATCGAAAAACCCTAATTGGATCCAGAACAATGAAAGATAATCACTATAGAATCAATCAATCTATTACAAAAAGTTATATTTTATAGGGATGCTGAAATAAATAAAATAAGCAAGAGTAAGTATGGTCATATACCAACGAAACATTTGTTAAATGAAAATTAAAGGATCAAACCCCACCTCTAATCACACTTAAGCCTTAAGTAGTAAGTTGTATAAGTCAAATTTCTAATCATTTCTCTGCTTGGTGAATGGTGACCTACAAATTTACCACGAATTTTTGCCAAAATTATTTCTGCAATTAAAATTTCAGGTGTTCAATTGCACTCTAGATTAAGCAACCTCCTTAATACATAAGGACCATGTTCAGCAATTCTCTATAATACATAGTCAATAGATTGTAAAAAAGTTCTCATTCTAACTTTCAAACAATTATATAGTCAATCACACTAAAAAGGGGTCTATTAGTAAAGTGACTTTTTATGCTTTTGAAAACTTTTGAGTAATTATGCTCAAGATTGTTGAACTTTTTTTTTTTTTTTTTTTTTCAAAATATATGAGCACCAAACTCTGATATTACCAACTGTTGTGCTGATGAGAAAATTAATGCTGTGTAAACTTGAAAGAGTATGTTTGAATCTTTGATAAGTTGGGAGCTATTTCTATAGTTTCTTGACAGCTTAAGAGTTGAAAATGATTTTAATTATGAGAAAGAAATCAAATGTCCCTTTGAGATCACTGTCAAATGGTCCGAAAGGTTCCAAATGTGACCGTAAACACTACCGGTCAACCATACAGAGAGAGGCTATAGACTCGTCCAGTTTTCCATACTTTGCAAGATGTCTGAAGTAACCAACTAGGCTACCAGATGGTGTGGACACAACCCCTATCCAATTTTTGACACTTACAAAGATACATATAAAAGAAGTTGATTTTAATAAAATATAAAGACCAAATATAGTATCAGAAATATTTTTCTAATCACTTTGGAAAACTTTTCTTAAAATCTTTATGCAATTTTATAAGGTATAAACATCTAAAGTGCGTGTACATAAGGCATAACCATTGAAAATAAGAATTGAGAAAATTCTCAAACATTCAATACAAGACTTAGTTGAGGATACAAACCTATGAGATACTAGTCTTGCGTATTTTCCAAGTTTTCAAGCTCTATTTCTTTTTATATCTTGAGTTGATTATAATCTAATTGAGAAAAACTGGCTTAAATATACTCAAGATTAATTTGTTAGTAATCTCACAATCACTTGTTTGTTTTTATCAAAATAAACATTTATTAAATGTTGGGATCAACAGTGTGATAATTATACTAATCCTTTGTGCCAACCTCACTAGTGTACAAGTTTTCTTTTTTAATAAGCCTACTGTGCAAAGTTTGGTGCTTATGGAAAACTCTTAGTGGTCTAATGACATAATTAAGGAGATGGGTATGGAAAGGGTTGAGCTGGAGGTTGGCCATGAATATATGGACTAGTGGAAAGAACAAAAAGATTCATGTTTAGGACATTGAAATAGTGAGGGTGTATAAAAAGCAATAATCTAATTTATATTTTAGGTAATGGGTGGGTTTAGAAAAAGTGTGTGAAGAGTAGATTAAATGAGTGACAATAGAGCCACCTTTATTATTATTCTTATTAGGGTTACAACTTATTTACGTTTTTTTTAATTTTATGGTCATTCTTAGTTTGCTTCTTAAATTTTAAAAACTCTTACACTAAAAATTCTTAATCAATCCCCGCTTAATCCAATTAGTTAAAAATTATACATATCAAAAAGATGAGATTAATGTAGTTGTGTGGTCTTTTTCAAATTATTTGTTACTAAACGTTCAGAAATACCACATGACCATACTAATTTTTTTGTTTCAATTTGCTTTTAACATAAATTCTACAAGAGGGGGTTAAATGCATGAAACCACCCAGATTTCAAATAAGACGGTGGACTACTTCTACTAGCATAACAACAACTTATCATTGGTAACACGGTATACTACCACCGGTATGAAGGTGAATTATCACTGATAACCTTGTAAAGAACCTATAAGGAGCATTCTTTATATTACAAATTTTTATTTTATTGTTTTATTTTATTGCAAAAATACTTTTTCCTTACAAAAATCAACTCATAAGGCCTAATTATGGCATTTATGTTGGACAAGGAATGACAAACGCAAAGCAAATGCACCAAGTTGTTAACTAGGATCCAAGTGGCATGGATCTAAGCAAATTGTGTAAGTACTGATTCAGCAAAAGCAAGCAAAATACTCTTAACACATGCATTAGTCCTATAAGGATTAAGGGCTACGCGCTTAAACAAACTCAGTGGTGTTACTGCTACAGAGATGCTATAAAGGAAAATCTCCAAAATCCCTCAACTCAAGTACGTAAAAATTTTTGGTCCATCTGATAAATCAAACCCTGTGCAAATTTGATATCCTAATGGTATATAATCAATGATATTATCTCACACTATGCAGAATATTTGGACAATTTTTATCTAACTTTTAGATATTTTTTTTTTTCGTAAGAGGTCATGTAATGACATAGCATAATATGGTTGATTGGATGCTATTTGAGATACTAACACTTGAAGTATGGGAGGTGAAATATTTGATTGCGGAATGCCGGGATGGTCACATATAGTTTACAATATACTAAGAGCATTCCAAATGCAATGCCAAATCAATGTGCTAATGCTGAATTTTGATATTTAAATAGGAAAATCACTTTTCAAACAATGTTATTCTTGGTGTTAAATTTCGCAAATGTTATACTTGGTGGTAAATTTAATACTAGATAGCATTTAATTCTTATTTATTGATGTATTAATGTTTGATTATTACAATATTAGTTGTTTAAAATTATTTAAAACTTAACGATTATGACAACATATTAGTATAGCATGTGACGTAGTGTTATGAATTGAAGAACAAATTAAAATAACATATTGACTTTGGCATTTGCATTAGATACGGTTAAAAAGCGTGCATACTTATCCCCTCCTCTAATTCACAATTTTTTTCCCTAAAAAAGAAGAAAAACTTTCATTTTTGCTGGAGGATTTTAAATTTTTAATCAGTCAATCAGCGGTTTTCAAAGCAAACACTGAACAACGTTTCCTTATAATTTTTTAGTACTAAATTAAATAGCTCGGCGTGGAACATGACATGAACTTGGGCGTCCGCAAGAAGAATATACATTGAACCCTCATTTAATAAAGGGTCAAGGACATAAATGAAAAAAAAAAGAAAAAAAAAAAAAAAAGAAAAAGAAGTGGGGTTTCTTCTTTTGGATAATGAACCAAATATCGAGCTATAATGTGCTGCTTTGAGTATGAAACCATAAAAGAGGTTCATGTATGATATGCATCTTCACATGTGGGATTGAAGAGAGAATATCAAGGAGTAAAGAGTGGCACGTGACAAACAGCAGAGCAAAGCTTGTGCAGCCCATGTGGGATTCGGGCGGGGCCCACGCCAAAGTTTCAGAGACGAATCTACTTTTTTTTTTTGTTTTTTTTTTTTTTAGAGCCACAAAGAGGTTTGTCCACGGTGCATTCAAAAAACCAGACATGCCCATACTCTTTTATCCATTTTTATAATCAACTTTGGAAACATGCTAGTAATAATGACACTGCAAGTTATAGCAACATGAACAACAAAATCTTTCATAATATCATCTCCCAACCAAACTATATATCAAAAAAAAAAAAAAAAAAATTGATGACAAAAAATAAGAACCTAAAACATATATATCTTTAATTTAATTAGCCCATGCTTTTATAGCAAAGGAATCATCACAATTCAACACACTATTTTTCTTATCAACTAATTTAACAAAAAATTAGAAAATCAAAAAGACCCCCCCCAAAAAAAAAAAAAAAAAAAAAAAAAAAAAAAAAAAAAAAAAAAAAAAAAAAATGAGGCCCCCCCCAAAAAAAAAAAAAAAAAAAAAAAAAAAAAAAAAAAAAAAACAGCACACATAACATGTAGGGGAAATATTACTATTTCCCCATGTATGGTACAAAATATGAGAGGAGAGAATTTGAGGAGAAAGTCTGTCCGGCAAAGTAAGGTTGTTTTTTTAGTGATGCGGGTGCGCCGCGGCAGTGGCGTTCCCCGGATGAGTTGGCGGCTTGCATTGGTAGCACTTGGCAAAGAGCCCGAAGGTGTCGATCTGCCTGATGAAGTTGGTCATGCTTGCCCATCCGCCGAACCCGAACCCGACCACAAGCACCCAAACAACAACGAAGGCATTCAACACGTACATCCCCGTCCAGCTTGGTAAAAAGAATGGAGGCTTCTCTGCCGCATTCTGTGAAAAACAGTAATGGTAAATAGAGTTAACTAATCAGTAGTCTTATAGTGTCGTTAGGTTAATCAGTTTTTCCGACATAATTGAGTCACATTTGTCAATGTTTCGTTTTATTAGCTTCTTTTTACCAAAACACCTACAAAAGTCTCGAGCATTTATTTTAGTAAATAGAAACCATGCTAACGAACCGTGAGAGACGAATAGACAACCAGCTCTAATTGTTTGGCTATTTTACATGGCATTTAGACCCTATAAAATATAAAAAGCTTTTCTTCCCATATCGAATATATATAATTTGACCGAGTTTATTTCACCGAGTTTTTAATTTTAAGTTTCTACTGTAAAAAACTCTAAAAAAATATTACATTTAACTTTTTTACTACAGTGAAAAACTTTCAGAAAATATCACATTTCAGCTCGAATTGAAAACTCGAATCTACCGAGTAAACGAGACCTTAATGTTTTCTTTGTTTTTGTTTGTTTTTTTTTTTTTTGGGCACGAAGCTTACTACTTTTTTAGGCCCTGTTCCTAGTAAAAAAATTTAATTTTTGTTGAAAAAAGTACGGTAACATATTTATTTTTACCTGTCGAGCTGAGGCTTTTCTGTATGTTAGCATATGGGCTAAAGATGGGATAATGTAGACGGTGAAGCTAACCAAAAGAGCCCCAACAGCTGAGTTAATGGGCCCAAAGAAGGGGAAGATTATGGCCAAGAACCAAATTGGTACGACAACTGGCAGTCTAGCCAGAGCCCTTAAACAGATGCTCCTTGTGTCATGCATCCCTATCACCTTCTCCCACACGAAGTACAAAGGCGTACATGCAAACCCAAATGTTATAAACTGCACAAAAAAGTCCAATTGAATCCTTGTCAGATATACATATAAACATGAAATTCCTTTTTTTAACCATTTTTGGTTATTAAAATTTTAGGTCTCGTTGTTCAGTTCATTTGAATTTTTAATTTAAATTTAAATATGATTTTATGTGAGAGTTCCGTTTGGTAGGGGAATTCGAACTATGATTTGAATCATGGTTCATGATTTATTACATAAAGTGTTTTCTCTAAAAAAAAAAACACACGTAAATCGAGAATGATTATGAATCACGGTTCTGAATTTATGAACTAAACGTCCGCTAAAAATATAACAGAGAAAGTTAAATATGACTTTATATGAGAGCTTTTAACTGTAATAAAATTAGAATTAAAAAATTAAATCGGTAAAATAAACGAAACCTTAAAAATTCCTATTTCTTAACGGGAGCTTTCTTCTCTGTGTATGTTTCTAAATACTAAATTTAATTTAAATCATCTAAAAAAAAATGCAATTTTTTTAAAAGTAGGCAAAACTGACATAACCTGTACTGGTATGGACGGATTATAAACAAATTAAAGGCTAGATATTGTGTGACAAATAAAAAGATGAAATCGATTGACCTGATGAATGAGCATTAGGATAACGGCGGCGTCACGGAATCTCGACTTGGGGAGGAGAGAGAAGGCGTTAGAGTGGTTGAGGAGTTGATCCCCAAAGGCCCAGTAAACGCAGGCAGCTGACGGAAGTGTTAGTGTGAAAACGTAGAGTGTGGCCAGCAAATATATGTACTTGAATTTCTGAGGCTTCCACATGGCGTGCATGATTTCCCTGAAACGTTTGTAAATAAATACAAAGGACGATTAATTTTAAAACAGTACAGTTCCAAAACCCAGAATTCCATTTAATCATGGGTCGTTCCAAATTGGGTAATTAACTATTCTGAGCTCAAGGAAAGGACAACACTGGACTATTAGTAACATGTTTAATTAACACAGCAGCTTCCACCAACGATTACGATAATGCCCCTGATGTCATTTCTCTCCTACTTCCAGCTAACACTTGACTATAAAATAATTTTTAGTCTCATGACTATGATGGAGAAATTATGCATTTGGGTAAAAGACAAAAGAAACTAAAATATATCAGCTGAAAAGAGATGACGAAAGAAAACAAAAAACTCTAATCGTTGATAAAGTTGGGACCAGTTTTACTGTGCAGAAATTTTCCCACGGGAGTGGAAGGAGTTGGGGTTACAAGGTAATATGTTATTTTCCTGAGTAAACCAAAAAGTGGTAAGAGGGAGCAAATATATATAATTTTGTCTGTGGGTCTCGAACACCGAGACGGCCGGCAAAAGCTGCAAAGAGAAGCCGTGTAGAAACAAATGCAAGAAGAAAAGAACAGCAAAAAAAAAAAAAAAAAATATATAACATCTTTCCTTCAAAAAAAATAAAATAAAAATAAAATAACAACAATATATATTTCCAATCCATCCACGTCTCAAGAGAGAAGCAAACAAAAAACAATGTGATACCGTCCATGAATGAATATATATATTGTCATGGAATTTGGCAACCACAGTTCAATATCATCTTTAGATTTATATTTTCAACATATTTGTAGTTGGGATGAGATGGAGATGGTGGTGGTAGAGATCCCCGATATATAATGATCTTTATAACTCTTGAAACTGAAACTTTATTTTGTTTTGTTATCATTTTTCTTCGCTATATGTATGACAGAGAACGAACATTACGCGCCACAGAGGCAAAGGAATTTCTCGCTTACAAGTGATAAAGACAACCTGTAATCATACCAACTCAATGACAATTTTAATTTATTCTTCTTTCCCGGTTAATTAACATCCAATGCATGTTCCGAATCAGGTAAAAAATCACAATCATGGTGCAGTAAAATCTAAAGACAACACTTTTTTTTTTTTTTTTTTGAAATAAAAGACACAACGTTTTAGGTTACAGTATGTACAAATTTGTAGTTAAAAATGTTACATGGTCATTTGTTAGAATCACGAGCAAAGTAAAATTGACAAAATGACTCTTTTAATTTTTAAAAAGAGCATCTATCAAGTAGTTCGTTATAAAAAATAGTTGTTCTCGATCGCAAATAAAAATCTCTAGAAAATTATTGTACTAATAAAACTTTCTTATTAAATTATAATTATTTTAAGTTTTACACACAATATTTGATAAAAGCAGCCAAATAGGTATTTTCTTCCGTCACGATCATCATCTGATCGTGGCAATAATATAACATGCAAATGTAATGATGGAAAAGCTAGAACTTTAATAGAGTTATATAAATATATATGTGCGTAATAAAAAGAGTTATATATCTAATAGTTATATGTGTGTGTATATGTAAATTGAGGTTTAGAGTTATTAAGAGAAAAAAAAAATTGACGTTTAGAGTTCAATCCTAAAAGTGAAATTCATTAAAAGAGTACGTCTAAATTCTCTTTAATCGATTATCAATCTCTCAATATAAAAAGATAATTATAAATAATAGTATCAGAGGTTTATAGCTAGGGGAAAAAAAACAATTATACATATATATGTATGTATTGAAGCATGCGCGCATATATATATATATATATATATATATATATATAATAAGAAAAAAAAAGCTTACACAGTCACGGCATGACCACCGAAGGTGTACAGTATATTGGTGGCTCCGGTGAAGTAAAGTACAAGTTTGGTCGGACCAGAATGTACAACGCCCTCAGCCTAGAACACAAGAATCAAATTTTTAATTTTTCACCTTAAACCACTTTACTTTTTACCCAAAAAGTAAAAGCGTAAGATATAAAAAAGAAAAAAAAAGGGTCCATCATAATAATGGTTTCAAGATCCGAAACATTAATATGAGTTTGAGATGATTATAACGAGAACAAGAAGTCGTGTAATTTGTTTTTATTTTATTTTATTTTATTATACCTGGCCATGAGTAAGAGCAGCAATAGCGAGGTACCAAGCAGTGTAAGTGGTCATCCCGAGGCCAAGAAAAGACCAAATCCGGTAGTTGTGGAAAGAGGGTATGAACACCGTTGTCGCACAGCAAGCTCCAAAGATGTACGTCCAAGTCCTCTTGTCCAAATTATCGTTGATGTAGTAAATGTTACTGCGGTCAAAGAAGATCACCAACAATAGAACTCAAAAATTATTTCACCAAAACCCAGTTACGTATTATAAACGATTATTTGTTTTTCAATACACGTAAAAAAGAAAAATAACATTTTACCTTGCACAAGCAATGAGTTGGATGACAGATCCAAATAGAAGGAAAGTGCAATTGAAGGCAAGCCCCAAGGCTTTCCAGTAAGGGCCGAGTAACCCATCGAGCACTTCGAACCACTGCAAGTACAATATTTGATAAGTTTTATTGTCGATTTTTTCTTTTTTGTTTGGATTAGGTGTTTGGTGGTGGTGAGAAATTCACATCACAACGTTGTATGAACAACTATTTTACTAATTCTTTTTAAAAAAAAATTATTAGATTATTAGTGTCATTACATGATCAATTATATTGTTGTTGTTGTCATTTATTATTATTATTATTATTATTATTATTACCTGTATGACATGGTTCTTGAAGCTGACATTCTCTTTCTCCTTTCGGCTTCGGTACTCAACATAGAGCACACTGATGAGATACGCAGTCCAGCTTCCAAGCAGACCATAGAAAACCTGAAGAATGAGTCCTGAGAGCATACCCAGTTGAGAGAACGAGTACGGCAGTGTTAAAAGGACTTGGGCAACCTACAAAAATGTCCAAAAACAAAACAACGTTATAGGTTTTCTTTTTTTTTTTGGGCAAAAGAAAAAATTGGGTTCTTGGGATTATGTAATATGGTACTTGATTGGAAGCGCAACTGAACCAAGCGTCCCAAGCCGAGCCACCATGCCAGAGAAAGGTCTTGACACTAAACACTGACTGATTCTCCTCTTCTTCTTCTTTCCCTTCTTCCTTGGCTTCATGATGTCCATCGGATTCACTAAAGTTCGAGACTATGGCTTCCTCTGCTTGCTTCTGAGGCAACATTGTCTCTTTTTTTTTTTTTTTTTTACTCTTTTTGTTTTCGCACAAAAGGGCAACGTCTAAATCTTGGTAGATCTGAAGCACATAAAAAGACAGTTAATGAGACAAAACAAATGTAACCAAGAAAACGCAACCCCAGAAAACGAAAGGCAATAAGAAAATACCACAACCCCAGATCCAAATACCAGAGAAAATTCCCCCACAGAAATCCAGAAGCAAACGGATAAAATAGAGGGCCAAAAAGGGAAAAAAAAACTTCTAAAACATGTTGTTCACGAACTAGGCTGACCAAAAGAGAGAGAGAAAACCAGATCAACAAACTAGTTTACCTTGCACGATATGTCACTTTCTAAAGTTCGAAGAAAAAGCGAGCGAGCGAGCAAGCAAAGCCTAGATCTTTCACTCTCTTCCAAACAAAACGATCTTATTTCTCAGCTTGACTTTGATTTATCAGCTTCTTTTTCCGATGAAAAAAAAAGAAGAGAGTCCAGTACAGAGCAACAGTTGATGCACAGAGAGAGAGAGAGAGAGAGAGAGAGAGAGAGAGACTTAAATGCGTTGAAATAATTGCAAGATCTTCAGCTACAGATCTCCTTAGCCCTGTCAAAAACTACGCCTAAAGATATCCACTTTTAATGCAGCCAACAATCTGCACAGACAAAAGCCAGTGCCGAATTCCCAAAGACGGCGAGAGACCTCAAAAGCAGGAAAAAAAGATTTTAAAAATTTATGAAATAGATTATATAAACAAACACAAATCTCTCACTACAGAAGAAGAAGTTGGACTTGGAGGTGGAAAAATAGACCCCTTTTGGCTCTTAGTTGTAACTAAATATGTGCATATATATTTATTATAAAGTGTAGAGAAGTTTCTCTTTGGCTTTGAAGAAGAAAGCTTTGAATGAGTGAGTGATAAAGTTTGAGAGATTGGAAGAGATGGGGGAAAAAAAAAAAAAGGTGAGAGAGACGAAACCCCAATTCCCTGTATTCCAATTCCAATTCGATTCTTTGGTGACTGACAGAGAATTTGGAGAGTTCAAACTTCAAAGTGAAAGGGCACGTTGTTTCTGATCAGTAAGGATCAAGTTAAACAATGGTCCTTCCCTTTTATACAACAAAAGCAACTGCTTCAACGGCTCTGATTATGTATTTAGTCAAAATTTTCCTAAAATGAAAATGACATTTTTTGCAATTGGAAATTTAACCCTTTTCAATTTTCATTTTTGGTTATTATTATTGTTATTATTATCGTGTACCATGCATCTTTTTTATTTTATCTTACTCTCCAAATTGAAATATATATATATATATACACATACACACATGTATTGTTACCCTTTAAGAAAAAGTGAAACATATATAAGTCTCTAGATCTAAAGGTTACTTTCATGTTTGATCATAAGTCACATTCGCACGCATTACATCAATTTTATTTTTTCCAAAACTCCTCACCTTCCTCTTTCTGTAAATAATAATAATAATAATAATAATAATAATTTTTTAACATAACTTGCCACAAAGCATGTTTCCAAACATTATATTCTAAAATAATAAATTCAATCAAAATCACGGAAAAATATATGCAAAGAGTTAGTTTAGTTCGCTGATTCGAGTTTTTAATTTGAGTTAAAATGTGATTTTATGTGAGAGTTTTTTACTGTAGTAAAAAAGTTAAATGTGACTGTTTCTGAGAATTTTTTTTACTGTAATAAAACTCAAATCGGTAAAATGAATAGAACATTTATAACTTGATAAAAATTTAACAGTTTAAATAAGATGGTTCTTTTAAACTGTGTAAATTAAAAAAAAAAAAAAAAGACAAAATTGCATATTGCAGTAGGTTCTTCATTTCATTAACATAATTTTTTTTTTTTGTCCTCTAACGGTGAGTAAGCAGATCCAAATCTCAGTCAATAATTCTTCTAGGAACTTAATAATTGCCCAAAATTAATTAATTTCCATTTCAGCTGAAATATTAATGTCTTTCTTTTCCTATTTTTCATTTTTCGAGTTGGATTTTAATCTTAATTTTAATTAGTATCGAGGCCCCATAAACTTCCTCCCCTGTCTCCCAACACAAGGGGAAAAAGATGACAATCCCACGCGTTAAGATTCTTCAATGCAAAACCCAGCTGTTAAGCCGTTGGAATATGTTGTACGTGGTGTCTGAAGGCGTTTGGAAACCACGCGCCCTTGTGGCATGTGGGACTAACAGTCCCCGATGATAGATACGATAGGATTTTTTTTTAAATCGTGGGCCGCCCAACCCAGCCAACCGGCGATTATGGAGGCCCATTATGATCTTTTTTTTTTTTTTTTTTTTTTTTTTTAAAATTTTGGTTTTTTTTTTTTTTTTTTTTTGACAAATGTTAGGCTGCTCCGCGCAGCGCACGCGTGTATTAATGAAGGAAGAAAGGCTTGAACCGAGCCGAGCTGAGCCGAACCGAGCCATGATGGCCTCGCCACGCCACGCCGGGTCTTCGCACGCTTTAAAAGGAAGACACGCGCGCAATGAAGAAGCCTTAAGCCCCACTTTCCCGGCCGGTAATCATATTAAAGATGCTCTTTTAGCTCTTTTATCGGACGGCTCCGAGCAGCTCATTATCTACAGTTGGCCCCACCCCTCACTTCCCACTTTATCCTAGGATTCAATCTTTCTGATTTTATTCTTTATTTTTTATTTTTTCCATGACAATTATAAAAAGAAGTTGAATAGAAAATTCAACGTGTTTATGTTCCGCATATTTTACTGATTTGAGATTAAAATTTAAATTTTATTATAGTAAAAAAATTTTAAAAATAATTATATTTTATTTTTTTTATTATAGTAAAAAACTCTCATATAAAGTCACATATTAATTTAAATTAAAAACTCAAATAACAAACTAAATGAGTCTTTAATATTGTTAAAGATTTACAAGTGACGAGAAATATCTCGTGAATAATAACGTCCTTATTTTCATTTTTTTTTTAAATTTGATCTTTTTTTTACAACTATATCTGTGTAACTTTGTAGGATTGCTGTAAATAATTTACGCTGAAGGAAAGAAATAAATTTACAAGATAAAGTGATTACTGTTTCTTAATCTTAATACATTAACAAATTGGAAAAAAAAAAAAGAAAAGAAAAGAAATGGAAAGGGAATTAGAGTCCTTGATTATTATGCATTAGGCGAGCTTATCATGGATTTGACACAAAATCTTTTCAATGAAAAAGGTTGTCGCATGTTGCATGCCCAAATAATCATACTCATGAGAAATTAGGTCCAAAAGGTTTTCATAAAAAAAAGAAAAAACAAAAAAAAAGAAAAAAGAGAGAGAGAAGGTGGCTGCCGCAAACAAAAGGTGGTGGAAACGGTAGCGGTGGAGCCACAAAGCCACCATGAGTTTTTGGAGTACTATAAAGATGAGAGAAATATATATATAGAAAAGTGACATAAGTCATATTCCTTACAAAACCCCCACGTTGCACCCTTCAAACGGGGATTTGTCGGCTTGGTGAGGGTCTCCCTCTTGGCCCTCTCAAAACACATCCTCCACTTCGATTTTTCTGCCACTTAAATTTCATAAACCCCCCCATCTTTGTTTTGCCCCCATTTTCATCTTTTATTTTAAGTGCGTAATGTGTAAACATATAGAAAAGAGACATAAGAGTGTGAGAGTGACTTTAGACGTTTTGACCACTAAAGGTGAATTATAGTGAGGTGGTTCCGACCAATGAAAGAGAGCCGTTCAGAATTGTCAAACCCCATGAACATATTTTATAGACGCAAGAGATTTCTTTTTCCACTTGTTTTTAACTTTGGAGGCTTAGTGGGAGTGGTAATGATTAGTGAATGGATTTTGACGCCACTAAACTCTTAGCCATGAGCATCAAAATTCGGAGCATGTTCAATCGTTGCCCCTCACATGGGACCCAATATCATCCCAACTCATATTTTAATCTCCTTACACCTATACATACATTTTAATTCTTAACCAAGTCATCAGTTACACGTGGACGTTACATATTAGCAAAAATTGGTAAAAATTATATAGCGTTGAGATTCGAAAACCTGTAGTAACTAGTAAGCATCGTTTGGAAGGTTAAATGTAATTAGAAAACAAAAGCAATACATAGATTCTTGATTCCATAATCCATATACACAATTGTTATAACTTAATTTTCACAACTCAAAGTCAACTCTTTGTATGATCAAAATAGAAGCTAACAGCTCAAATATGTTTTTTTTTTTTTTTTTAATGGTGCATTTATAGCTGAGGAGAAGGTTATTTAATCTTAGGTAAAAACAGTTTTATGTGAACATATACAGATTTAAGGGAAATAGTTGAAAATATGCCAATACGAAAAACTTAAGAAAGTATATAGGCCAATTTTTAATTATAGAAATTAATAGGCCATAATTTGTCAAGTTATGGTTCATAACCAGATAAGTTATGGACAAACTTGTCAAGTTATGGTTCATAGCCAGACAAGTTATGGACAATAACTTGTCAAGTTATGGTTCATAACCAGACAAGTTATGGACAATAACTTGTCAAGTTATAGTTCATAACCAGACAAGTTATGGACGAAAACAGTAATTTAGCATATTTATTAACTTATGTAAACTATTGACCTATTAATTTTAATTCATCTCAAGTCTTGTCCTATTTTCATCTTTCGCCCCAGATTTAATCGTTAAAAAACTAATATAATGTACCTATAAAGTAAAAATGCATCTCCTACTACAAATATTCCCTTTCTTCAAACTCATTTAATTAAGACCTTAAATGACCAACAATATTCTTTTTTTTTTTCAACCAATAATTAAGGGCACCGTTTGACATTGGAGTATCATCTAAGTGGAAGAACCGATTGCTAAACGACCGGCTCTGATAGGATTCAAGGAGATATCTCAACGTAAGTAGCTTCACAAGGCAAGTAGTCCTCGATTTTATACGCTACTCGCTATCAACAAGTAGCCACAACCTCAAGAATGCTTGATATCATCACGCATCCACAACATAAAAGTTTCTAACTAAACGTAGAGTATCGAATGTACCACATCGGCAACTACAAATTCAAGAGACTTTGTTCAATGTGGTCAGCAAGTAGGGCTTTGCAACTTAATGTAGATTAAACATAGCTCATTAATGCGGTTTAGTTTAAACATAGCTCCGTCTATAATCCAAAACATTCGAAATAAGCATTGATAGAAGTTCGATCTGACTATGCAGGCATGCATCCATGATCTCCTTATGAAAGGAAGATACTGGTTGGGGAGACTTCAAAAATTTAGGAGGGGAATGAGGCTCATTAATGCGGGACCAAAAGTCATAATCTTTAGCACTTTGTCATTTTACTTTTATGAGATAAATTGCAAGAAGAGTTTGAGTGTGTATTATATATTGTTAAAGTATAAAACTATTCAATAAAAATGTAACCACTAAAGGGGCCACAGTGGTTATGTTAAACCATTAAAATTCTTAGTGTTTTTTTTTTTTTTTATTTTTTTTTTTTTTTATTTTTTTTTTTTTTTATTTTTGTTTTCTTTTATTTTTTTACACTTTGATTCATTTTTTCCTCGAAGAAGTGCTTGAGTCTTCGTAAGAGACTCCTCAAAATGAGGGTCCAAACGAGTAGTACTTAGAATGGATTTTCGAATCTGATCCTTAGTGATGTTTAAAGGATTTAATTGCGCCTCTTCCATTAGTTATAATTTTTGAGAGAAATGGTTGTGTCACTCTTTGTATTAAAATATTTGTAAAATTAACTAGCTAGCAGCATTAGCACTTTGCGATATTCCACATTGTATGCACACTTTCTTTGGTGGCCGATTGGATTTTGTGCTATTAGTTTTGTAGTGTTTTCTTCCATTTATTTTCTATTTATAATTTCCAAACATGAAACGAATCTTTTTCATTTAATGTTATAAAAACTGAAGTACTTTTCTTTTCCCTTTAATTAAATTCACAGTTTCATGGAGCTTTATGTATTTTATATATAGTTGGTACACGCAGTTAATAATGCAATCATCAAATGGCTATGGTTAGTGGAACTTTTGCCGAGTACTTTCTAG